ATTCCTTTTTTTTATTACTTAATAATTTAAACCACTACTTGCTCAGCTAAAGCATAGTTTTGAATGTCAAATTCACGAGATCACTTTGCCCTTTGCTTTATGCTTTAATTTATACGTAGAGAATCATGGAAATGATTATCTAACTAATCACTTAAGAGTAAAGAAGGGGCTGTTCCCCGACCGAGAGACATGATCATTACTGGCTTTAAAGATTCAGTCAAGAAATGTTGATGCTTGAACAACTGTATGAATAATAATGCATGCAATGCTAGCTCTTCTGTATTTTTTTAATTTGAAAACATTAAAAAATTTATCTTAATTTAAAATTTTAAATTGATAGATAAGATTTTAAAAATTATTTTATATTATTTTTAATAAACTTTCTTAATTATTTAATTTTAATTAAAAAATAAGAGAGATGAGATGTAAACTCATAAATTATTTAATTTAATTAAAAAAAAGTGAGATGATTGAGATTCGAATTCATGATTATTTAATTATGAAGATTTTGATACTATATTAAAGAACTATCATAATCTAATAATTCAAACTATTAAGTAAAATCCTAAAAATAGTTTTATATTATTCTATAATAGTTAGCTTGAGTTTTTGAATAATTACTAAAAATAATTTTATATTAACTCATTAACACTACCTAATTAGTTTGATCAAACAAGAAAATGCAGCAGCCCTAAAGACTGCAGTTTCTCCTAATTGAGTAGTATTCAAATTTTTTTACTGGAATTGGAACTTTTAGGCAAAATAAATGAAAAATAAAGAACCCTGTTGAACTTGAGAAGAGAGTCTGTCATATGTATTAAAACCAAACTGTATCTAGTTTTCTAGTTTCATAGTTTCACAATCATATATTGTTACATACACAATTAAAAACACAAGATCGGGAGATTTCTTCTTTTCTTTAGTTTGTTCAGCGTGTCAAGAGGGGACTGTTCCTTAACGAGCACAAATATACTGCCAGCATCACCTCTTGAGATTCGAAGATCATCGTCGAGGAATGTAGTTAGCAGCCATGATTCAGCATTCCTTTTGTTTTTATTTTTTTCATTTATAAGAATAAAATAAAGATATTTTTTATTCTTTTATTTTTATTTTGAGTTGTGATTATTAAATTCAGATTTCAAACCGTCCCATACCAAAAAGATTTCAGACTCGTACCTTTCTTTCTTTTTAAGTAATTGCATAGTACTTTTTATAAATGTAATTTACGTAAACAATGTAATAGTTATAGACTCGTGCCTTTCTTTCCTTTTAAGTAATTGAATATTACTTTACGTAAACAATGTAATAGTTACAGACTCGTAACTTTCTTTCTTTTTAAGTAATTGAATATTACTTTTTATAAACGTAATTTACGTAAATAATATAATAGTTATACACATTGTACTTCAATAAATAAACAAATAAATATACAATTTTTTTCATATAAATTAATATTATAGTCTAAGAAAGTGATCTGTATGGTACTGTTTCTACCTGTTTCTTTTTTGCTCGAGAACCTGAATCCTTGCAAAATGAACTAATTAAGAGAGGTTATTAGGAAAGAAATATATATACAATGTCATTGCTAGCTAACCTTATCTTTCACAAAATCATGTATTCTGCGGCCTGCTATCGTGATTCACATTCTTGCTTTTGAAATAAACAAACAAACAACTGCTATCGTGATTCAGATTCTTGCTTTTGAAAGAAAGAAACAAACAAAAAAGTCGAAAGTTTATAATTACTAGTTTGCTTTTATCTTTTGAAATAATCAAAGTTTACTTGTTCTCATGCCTCCAAAATATTAGATGTTCTCATTTGTTTTTCGGATAAAGTTACAGGATGGTTTAATAAAAATTTTTATAATACTCAATAAATAAATAATAGCATATACAATAGTTATTTCATTGATCCATTTTGATAAGTGTTAAGACAATCCATTCAACGAGTATGAGTTTGCTAAGGACTCGCAATAGGTGTCACGGCTTCCACAGCGACGAGCAGACTCCTCTTCACACGCATCTTCTCCTAACGTGACTCGCTAGGAAGATAAGACAAGAATTGTAAATAGATAAGAACTTTTGTATAGTTGTATTCTTATCTCTTGTAAACATATATAAGGTTACGCAAACTCATAATAAGAGACGGAATGAATTAGTGAGATTCTATTCTACCTCTGTCAACCTTTATTCTATTCTACCTCTCGTCGGCATCTCTCTCTCTCTCACGCTTTAAGTTGGTATCGAGCCTTTTTTTGGCATCACTCGTCGTTCTTGCTCCTCATCAAAATCCAGCACTCGTAAATCCTCTTCTTCTTTATCAAAATCCAACACATGTGAACAGTAATATACCAATGACTTCATCCAAGTACCACATCCATCCCACTTGCCACTACCCCATATCAAGTCGTGCCTCACCATTCAACTATGACCCAGCTCACAAACTCTCATCACTTCATCTCCCTCAAACTCACCCAAACAAACTACTTTCTTTGGCGTGTTCAAATGAAACCCTTCCTCCTAGCCCAAGGTCTATTTGGTTTCATTGATGGAAGCAACCCATGTCCCCCAAGCCATGTCATCGGCTGTCTGGTTCGGACATACCTTTGATCAACCATGCCCATCAAGCATGGATCCAACGAGATCAACTACTCATGAGTACGCTCATTGCCTCCCTTTTAACCGAGGTCTTACCCATGATTATAGACTCGCTCAACATCTAGAGAAGTTTGGACCGTTCTAGAGAGTGCCTTGGCTTCCCCTTCTAATACAAGAATTATGACACTACACCTTGCTCTACAAAGACTTCTCCAAGAACCAAATGAATTAGTATCTCCCTTTTTACAACGTGCAAAAGCCCATGCTAATGAGCTTGCTGCAGACAGGTAGACCACTCTCCACCATCGACTTCAACCTATATGTGTTCAAAGGACTCGTCCGCAAAGTTCAAAGATATCATCACCACCCTCTCCACAAAAGCCGATCCGATAACATATATTGATCTCCACGAGCTTTTTACTAAGCCATGAATTTCTAAATTGTGACAATCACCATGATATGTCTTCTCGCGAGCACACCCACACACACGGCCCCCCGCTCCCAACCCCCTACCGCCCACCTTATCACGAGAGGTCCCAATAATTTCGGTGATCGAGCTCGGAGGTTCCAACCGTAGTAGGGAAAAATCTTTTAGGGGTCGTGGGCATGGAAGAGCTAGTCGTTTTGGTAATAGCTCCTAACAAGTATAATAAGCAACACCAAAGGTGCCAAATCTACAACTCTTTGCGGCATATAGCACTCAACTGTCCACAAGCAACAATATCAAACCACTCGGCCTGCTTGCTCATCTCTTGATAGTAGGCAATCCTCCTTTTGTGGCCAGCCATGGTGTCTAGACATGGGGGCAACACACCATGTTACACCGGATCTTGCTAGCTTCAACACCTTCAAACCTTACCACGGTCCTAACCGAGCTTAGTGGGCAATGGTGAGTTTTTGCCTATACATCACAAAGGTACAAGTCATATTCATACTCCTTCTCATAAATTAAATTTAAATCGGGTTCTTCATGTACCAAAAATAACACGCCTACTTCTTTCCGTTAATCGACTTGTAAAAGATAATAATGTCTTTTAGGAATTTTACCCCTCTTGTTTTCATCTAAAGGATCGGGTACACAAGAAACATCTACTTTCGGATCCGAGTGATGCTGAGCTCTGCGGTTACCTTCTACAAACAGTTCGGGTCCTCAAGTCTTTTCGATCAAAGTCTCTGCAAACACTTGGCACTCCAAATTAGGTCATCCCCATAACAGAATATTAAGCTTTCTTTTAAATAAAAATGTTTTACCTACTTCTCCAAAATTTTCAAGTTCATGTCCGTCTTGTCCATTAGGAAAAGCAAGCCGCTTATTTTTACATTCATCCAAAAATTCTAATACTGGTATTTTTCATTTAATCTTTAGTGATGTTTGGGGACCTTCTCCCACTACTTCAATTTATGGATACAAGTACTATATTATATTTATTGATCACTATTCCAAGTATATTTGGTATTTTGCATTGAAAAAAAAATCGGAGGTCTTTAACACTTTTTTACAATTCCAAAAAATGATTGAACGGTAATTTAATGTTAAAATTAAACAAATCCAAACGGATTGGGGTGGTGAATTTCGAAACATGAATACATTTTTTAAGTCGGTAGGAATACATCGTATTATCCGTCTTCACACTTATGAACAAAATGGGATCGTAGAACGACGTCATCATCATATTATGGAAACAAGCCTAACTCTCTTGGGTGAGGCATGTGCTCCGAGACATTTTTGGCATCATGCTTTTGAAACTGTAGTTTATCTTATTAATAGGATGCCATCGCCAATAATTAAAAATCAATCCCCTTTTGAAAATTTATTTAAAAAGGTCCCCGATTATTCTTTCCTTCGAGTCTTTGGTTGTTTATGATTCCCTTTCCTACGCCCTTATAATAAACATAAAATGGATTTTAGATCCACCTCATGTATTTTCTTAGGTTACGATCCATCTCATTTAGGCTATCGTTGCTATGATCCTCAAACAAAATGTTTTTACATTGCCCGTCATGTCGATTTATTGAAAATATTTTTCCATTTTCCAAAACTGAAAAATCTTCATCTCGGTGCTCAAAACCTGAATTTTCAACTCCTTGGGCTAGTCTCCCAATTCACGCCCCACTTGTCAATGATAAAGATTTGTCCGCAGGTCGGCATCACTCAAGTCCTCCTATTGGGCCCATTCGGCCACCATTGATCCACGACCCAAACACTTCACCAACCATACAAAGCCCAAATACCCCACCAAATTCCAGTACCGACCCATCATAATCTCAGCCCAACTCCACCAATACCTCATCAATTATCCATAAAAACCACTCATCCACCTTACCTACCCAAACCGACACACCTTCTCCCGTTTTAAATTTAATACTTGATTTCACGAATTATGACTTGGACCGACCTCGTAGCATTGCACCAATGCCCACCGCCGAACCTCAAAGGATGCATCCTATGGTCCTTCATAACATGGGCCCTAAGCCCTCATCAATGGCTTTGTTAACTGTGAGTGGTAAACGGGTTCCTGAAGCTCCCACTTGTTACTCGAGGCTAAACAATTTAGAGAATGGAGAATTGCAATGAAAAATGAGTTCAATGCACTATTAAGAACCCACACTTGGTCCTTAGTGCCACCGGATCCATCCATGAACATCATTGGCAACAAATGGGTGTTCAAGACTAAGAAACATGCGGATAGTAGTCTTAAAAGATATAAACCTAGGTTAGTAGCTAAAGGATACCATCGGCAAGAAGGGGTTGACTTTGATGGAAACATTAAGTCCAGGTAGTCAAGCCCACTACCATTTGGATAGTCCTCGGTCTAGCAATTTCGCAAGGGTGGCCCATCGGACAATTAGACATCCATAATGCCTTTCTAAATGGTAAGCTTCATGAATCGGCTTTTATGGCCCGACCAGTGGGCTTTATTGACTCTCGAAACCAAATTATGTTTGTAAGCTACACAAATCTCTCTATGGGCTCAAACAAGTCACTAAGGGCATGGTTTTCCTATCTCCGTGATTTTCTAATATCTTTTGGTTTTGTGGGTTCCAAAACATATTCTTCCTTGTTTATATATCGGATGCGGGATTATAGAGCTTTTCTCCTAGTCTATGTTGATGATATCCTAATCACTACAAGCAACACCAAGTTCCTCCAATCGATCATCCATGCCCTCAATACTCGGTTTGCAATCCGTGACCTAAGAGATATTAACTTTTTCTTAGGCATAGAGGTGGTACGAACCAAGCAAGGACTTGTTCTATCTCAGCAAAAATACTTCCATTATCTCTTTTCTAAACAAGGTATGCTAAATTGTAGACCTATCTCCACTCCTATGCCGACCACAACTAAGCTATAGAAAGATGACGGTTTAGTCTTTGATAATTCGACTTTGTATAGACAAGTAGTAGGTGCACTTCAATATGCCACCTTGACTAGGCCGGAGATTGCTTTTTCGGTTAACAAAGTCTATTAATTTATGCACAATCCATAAGTAACTCATTGGATTGCTCGTTAAACGGATTCTACGCTACCTAAAGCATACCACGGATCATGGTTTACATAACAAACATTTGACCTCTCAATTACTTATAAGGTTTTCGGATTCAAATTGGGCTGGTTCACTTGATGATAGGAAATCCACCAGTGGATATGCGATATTCCTTGGGCCAAACCTCATCGGTTAGAAGTCCAACAAGCAAAAAACGGTGACACGTAGCTCTATAGAGGCGGAATATAAGGCGATAGGCGACTTGGCGACAAAACTCACTTGGATTACATCTTTATTAGGAGAGTTGGGTTGCCGTCCAACAACTAAACCCATTATATGGTGTGATAACATTAGAGCTATATACTTAGTAGTCAATCCTGTATTCCATGCACGTACAAAACATGTGTAAATAGACTTCCACTTTGTCGGAGATATGGTAGCTAGGGGAGTCTACGAGTCAAGTTTATCTCTATACAAGATCAGAGTTGTCGACATATTAACCAAACCATTATCCACAAATAGGCTAGCATTTTTAGGGACAAGCCGACGGTTGGTAGCCGACCACTATTAGTTTGCGGGGAGTGTTAAGACAATCTATTCAGCGAGCATGAGTTTGCTAAGGACTCCGCAATAGGTGTCACGGCTTCCACCGATCCGGAATCGGACTTCACATATTCCACGGCTTCCACAACGGCAGCAGACTCCTCTTCACACACATCTTCTCTTAACGTGACCTACTAGGAAGATAAGACAAGAATTATAAATAGATAAGAACTTTTGTATAGTTGTATTTTTATCTCTTGTGAACATATATAAGGATTACGTGAACTCATAATAAGAGACAGAATGAATTAGTGAGATTCTATTCTACCTCCGTCGACCTTTATTCTATTCTACCTCTGTCGACATCTCTCTCTCTCTCTTACGCTTTAAGTATAAGAGAGATAAACACAAAAAAAAAATACATTTGGACCCTCTACATAAGATAAAAAAAATTTCATGTTTGCTCAATTTTTAAAAAAAATTTCTCTCTCTTATCTCTCTCTCTCTCTCTCTCTCTCTCATGTCTATCTTTCTCCTTAAGCTTAAGCTTTTGGATGAGATTATCTTTTGATATGGTATCAAAGCCTTGATGACCAAACGGTCACGAGTTCGAATTCTACCACCCCGCACATTCTCTTCTAATTAATTAAGCACAAGTTAAAGTGGGAATGTGTAAATTTCAAGGCCAAATGGTTTTCACTTGAAGGAATGTGTTAAAGAATAATATAAACCATATCCTGAGGGCTCACTTCGACGACTTAAGCTTTTAGATAAGATGATCTTTTGACAGACTATTTAGTGACTTTTCGAACATAATTTATATTGTTCTTTAACATATTTTTTCAAGTAAAAAATTTTTTGACTTGAAATTTTTTTATTTTAAAATCATTTATATGATTTACAGCATTCTTCAATAGAAGATATTTATACTTCAAGAATGATCATTAATATTAACTCCACAAGGAGAGAAATAAATACAAGAGAGAGTGAAAATAAAGAAATACTAATCAAATCTTTAGTACTATCATCACTCTCAAACCCAGTTTAGTTAATTAAATAGTTTTGGGGACTCGCTCTAGTCAAATCTTTACGTAAACTCGCTATAAGAATCGTAAATGCTCATTAATTCAACAATAAGTAAAGAATAAAGTCTAGCTGATGAGTACTACAATAAGCAAAGCAAGGGAGTATATTTTTGTTTTGGGAATATTGGAGGGGACTTTCCCTATTCAAAAGAAAAGGGAAGAAAGAAAGCGAGGTGTTGCCGACAACAATGCAGCTGAATGATTCTCATGGATTTCTCATTGTTTCCCTCTACAATGGATGCATGGTGGACAGTTTAATTTTTAAAATTTGAAACTACATTGCTTTGAATTTTAAATTGGTGCCGCAAAAAGGTTAGAAGCCTCTCTCTTTCTTTGTTTGTTTTTCTTAAAAAAAAAAAAACAAATTAACACAAATGACACTTTTTTGCTTGTGGTTGGAAATTAAAAATATCAACTCCGAATAATAATGCATTGCTTATAATTCTATTTCACCAATTTCAATTCAAAAACTATACTTTCATTGTGTTTGAAAACAACTCTGAATAATAATGCATGCAATGCGCTTCTGTATTTCTAATTTGGCAGTATTAAAAAACATATCCAAAGATATCCTACTAACATTAATATATATAAAAAAAGATACCCTAGAAGAAAAGGAAGTAACATACTATATTTTATCTACTTTCTTAGTATTTTTTTTATATTAGAAAACATATCTCATATTAAATTGTTAAACTAAAAATGATTAATACATAAAGTTAGAAAATGAGCAACACATCATAAAGTCTAAACTTTTTGGATAGAAATCAATTTTAACTATCTAATTTTATATGGTATCAAAGAAGCCTAATAGCTCAACAAAGATATTAGAGCCTAATATACTCAAAAGATGAACCGCAAATGAGGGAAAATATTAAAAAATATATCCCACATTATGGACTAAAAATTGAATTTGTCTACACCTCATAGAAGAGGTGGTCAAGTTAGATCTTCGCCTTTGCTGAGGTGATTAGATTAATCCCATTCCCTCTGTGGCTACGATTAAGCTCACGAAGAGGCTATTGTGCAATGTTTTCATTATTTAGCACTCGCCAACAAATAGCTTCTTTTTGTTTACTCCCTTTCATAGAATTGAAGAAAAAGATCAACTCTTTTATTATATTGAAAAGAAAAAGATCAACTCAATAGTGTCCAATACCTTTAATAAGGACTTTCCTCCCCAAACCGCTCTCCAGATCTCCCAACCTCGAAGCTTCTTCCTGCAATTTTTTTACCTTGTGGCGACGTGTAACAGGAAGGCCTGAAGCATAATTTAGTGCATCCAAGTTAATGAATTAAATAGTTTAGAGTTCAAATTATATATATGTAGGCAATATTCTAAGGTTTAATAACGATGTGGTTGGTGTATACGTACAAAAGTAGAGGAGTCTTTCATGTATAGTCATGGGATATCCACTCTTAAAAGCAGATGGGGTGAGGGCTAGAAGTTGAAGAGCAGTTATGCCGTGTTTGTCCTTCAAGCTGTGGAGCGATTCATCCAGTTCTAGCAACATCAAAGCTGTTTCTGCAATATTTATTAGAGAATATGATGGAGCTAATAATAATGAACAAAGAATCAATTAAGCGGACAATATTTCCTGATTGTGTTTTATTTTATTTTTTAATCCTCTATATAAACATGTGATATGTATAAAAATCTTTTTAATAATTGTAACTTTATTTGTATTATTTTCCTGCCACTTTCTTGCTGGCTTTTAATCTAAACTCATTGATTATCATTAAAATTAATAATAAGAAAAAAACAATCTACGGATCCATCAATACAATTCATGCAAAAATTATACATTTTTTGCTGTTTTTTAATTTGAGAAGTAAAGAGAGAAATTATTACCATAGTGTTGCCCTAGGATAGCAGCGCTAAGGATATTGGAGAGATGATCTGATGATCTTTGGCGGTGAATTGATTCTATGCAGCCATCATCATCCACCATATTTTGTGTTGGTAACTGAAGCAAGAACTTCACCATTTCTGCCTCGGCAAATTTAGCAGCTTTAAACAATGGGGTTTCACCGCTATCATTCCTAATGGAAACTAGGTCTGGACAACGTTGCACCAATAGTTTTACTGCCTCAAAATTTCGATAGATGGTTGCCTCGTGAAGAACCATATTTCCATACTTGTTTTCACACCTCAAAGTTTATCTTGTTCATTATAGGATAAAATATCAAGTAAATCTTTAAGTGGTTGCTCCTTTTTGCTGCTATATGAAGTGCAGTATTCATAGAGACCGTAATTGGAACGAGCATATTGAGACAAGAGTCGGCTACAACAAACAAGGAAGAGATGGACTCTGCTATAGTGAAATAGTTTGTTAGAATACAACTACTTCGGAGATAAACTCTGCTGCGAGTTTGTTAGTTACAAGAACTCTGCTACGGTAGTTAGTGAATTACTTGTCCTCTCTAGTTCTTATCCATTGTATTATCTAGAATTCTAAATACATTATACTTGTACGTATATATAAAGGACATGTTAAAGTCATAGGAATACAAGGCTGAAAATATTATCTTCTAACGAAACACACCGTTTATCTTGGTATCGAGCCTTACAAGGCTTAATAGCCAAACTTCACCTTTTCTTCCTCACTACAACAAAACATGTAATTTCTCCTTTTCTTTCTTACTGCAACAGAAACACCTCCTCCCCCTCCCAGCTGCACCCAATGACTTCCTCTAGCAACACCAACTCTCCCACCACCACCGTTGAAATCGTGCCGGCCATTCCCCAATCCACCACTCCAATGATTCACCTAACTAACTCCCACCACTTCATCTCCTTGAAACTCACCCAAACAAATTATCCGTTGTGGCGCATTCAGCTCAAGCCTTTTCTCCTTGGCCAAGACTTATTTCAATTTGTTGATGGATCTTTCCCTTGCCCTCCCCGACCATATTCCAGCCTCCAATGATGGCCTTCCACAACAAAACCCCGCTTACAAAGCATGGATCCAGCAAGACCAACTTCTAATGAGCACTCTCATCTCCTCCCTCTCAACGAAGTGCTTCCTATGGTAATTGATTGCACCACATCTAGTGAGGTTTGGCTCACACTTGAAAGAGGCCTTGCTTCCCCATCTAGCACTCGGATAATGAGCTTGCACCTAGCCTTGCAACGGCTCGAGCGGGACCACCATGAATCGGTTTCTACCTTCCTCCATCATGCCAAATCAATTAGTGATGAACTAACAGCGACTGGTCGTCCTCTCCCCTTGATTGACTTCAATCTCTACATCTTTAAAGGCCTCTCTAGTGACTTCAAGGACATTATCACTACTCTCTCCACACGTCCTAAACCGATAACATTCACCGACCTCCATATCTTCTTGGTTAGCCATGAATTTCTCCACCTTGATTCGGATTTAGTGTCACCACCACAACATGGCCTACCGCCCACACTTACTCCTCCTCTATTATCTACACCTCCCGTAGCTCACATAGCGGCTAGGGGCTCGGGTTATCGGTCCCAAGGAGATCGTTACTTGAACTCCAATAGAAATCATGGTAGACAATCTAGAGGAAGGGGACGTGGCCGTTCCAACAACGGTATGGAAACACATCTTTTCACTCGAAAATCGTGGCTACTGGAACAACCAAGATAGTCGCACCAAATGCCGGATCCGCCATGCTTGGAGCCACACGACTGTCCACCGCCCACAACGCCACTTCGGCCAATAACATCCCATCGCAAATATCACGGCGTCCTCCACTCCACGGTCGTGCTCACATACATGGTGTCCCGATACCGGTGCCTCACATCATGTGACTCCCGACTTGGCTAGCTTAAGCACATATGAACCGTACATGGGTAAGGATTAACTCCAAGTTGGAAACGGTGAGTTTTTACCTATTTTGCACATTGGTTCAAGTCATATTAACACTCCTGCTAGATCTCTTAAATTGCTTGACGTGTTACATGTCCCACAAATAACCCAACCCCTATTATCTTTGAAACGCCTTGCTAAAGATAATAACTTATTTTGGGAATTTCACCCCTTCATATTTTATATTAAGGGCCGTGTACACAAGACCAAACTTCTTTCGGGAAGGAGTGATGTCGATCTCTACTCCCTTCATGCTTCATATCCCACCTCCAATCCTAAAGCATTCTCGACCAAAAGTCTCTACACCAGTTTGGCACTCCGAATGGGTCACCCCCACCATCGAGTACTTAATTTTCTTTTACATAAGTACTCCTTATCAAAACCTTTAAATTTATCGAGTCAATGCTTGTCATGTCCATTAGGAAAATCTAATCGTCTATCTTTGCCTTTATCAAACAATCCAAGCACGAGTATGTTAAATTTAATTTTCAATGATGTTTAGGGTCCCTTCCCTACCACTTCGTTGATGATTTTAAATATTATGTTATCTTTTTTTATCACTTCTCTAAATATATATGGTTCTACCCTTTACGTAAAAAATCAGATGTTTATAATGTTTTCATTCAATACCAAAATCTGGTTAAACATCGGCTTAATTGTAAAATTAAACAAGTCCAAACCGATTAGGGTGGGGAATTTCGAGGACTAAATAAATTCTTTCAAAATATAGGAATTGCCCATCGCATTATGTGCCCTCACACATATGAGCAAAACGATATCGTAGAGAGACGACATCGCCATATTGTGGAAACATGCCTCACCCTCTTAGCAGAGGCCCATGTTCCCAAACAATATTGGACATATGCCTTTGACACATACTGTTTTCTTAATTAACAAAATGCCCTCTCCTATCACCAAATATACATCACCATTTGAACTCGTGTTTAAGAAAAGCCCGAATTACTCCTTTCTAAAAATTTTTAGTTGTCTCTCGTTTTTCATATTTAAGACCTTATAACAAACATAAAATTGATTTTCGATCTACACCTTGCATTTTCTTAGGATATAACCCATCATATATGGGTTATCGTTGTTTTGACAAAACCAAAAATCGCCTTTACATTGCTCGTCATGTCCCGTTTGTTGAGTCGATATTCTTGTTTTCACAAATTCACTCGTCCGGTATGAACACAAGTTCATCCACTCGTTGCACTCCCGTGGCTTAGTGTCCCACTCCGACCACCTCCATTCCTCCAACCCAATCGGCATCACTCCACTACCCTACTAGGTAATCCACTTCAAAACCCACCTCCACAAGCCCCCATGGCTAGCCCCCAAATACCATATACCCACATAGATAGATCACTACCCCACCATTCCGTGACAACCCAAAACCAAACCGCACCTCATCCTCCCATTATCCCCGACTCCAATAGCCTAAATTGCCACTCCCAAAATCCAAATCGCTCCTTCACCACACCGGTATAAATTTACGAGTTAAATTTTAGCAAGTATGACTTGACTAACCAGTGTGTAGGTAGTATTACAAATTCATCATCCAAAGGGAGCCGAAACGAACCCATCTTATGGTTCTACTGAATATGGGTCCAAAAGCCTCTCTTGCAGTATCTTCTCCAAGCAATCCCGTAAAGTCCTACCTGCTATACCGAAGCTAAAAACCATACGGCATAGAGAATGGCTATGGAGTCGGAGATTAATGCCCTCCCGAAAACCGGCACTTGGTCTCTAGTCGCCCTTACACAAGCCATGAACACTATAAGGAATAAGTGGGTCTTCAAAACCAAAAAAACATACGGATGGCGAGCATAGAAAGGTACAAGGCAAGGTTAGTTACCAAAGGGTTTCACCAACAGGAGGGGATTGATTTTGGGGAAACTTTTAGTCCAAGTGGTCAAGCCCGCAACTATCGAGTTGTTCGTCCTTAGCAGTCTCATACAATTGGCCCATCAAGCAACTTGATGTGCACAATGCATTCCTAAATGGCACCTTACATGAAGCAATCTATATGGCCAACTAGTGGGCTTTGTTAATTCTCGGTTCCCCGAATACGTCCGCAAGCCGCATCGCTCTCTCTATGGTCTTAAACGGTCCCCACTCGGCTTGGTACTCTTGTCTTCGGGACTTTCTCCAAAATTTCAGCTTTGAGGGGTCTAAAACATATTCTTCTCTCGTTTATTTACAAAGTTAGGGGTTACAGAGCATTCTCGCTAGTCTATGTCGACGACATCATTATTACCGAGTGACCATTCAGCTTTTTTAGAGACAATAATACATGCTCTAAACTCCAAATTTGCTACACGAGACCTTGGTGATATTAGCTTCTTTTTGGGCATAGAGGTGATTAAAACATCGACAAGTATTATAATGTCTCAACGTAAATATATCCACGATCTCCTTACTAAACAGGGAATGCTTCGAGTGTCGTCTCATCACCACACCTATGCCCACCACTTCAAAACCGAAAAATGGAGATGCTGAATTCTTCTCCGATCAAACTTTATATAGACGAGTTGTAGGTGCCCCTCAATATGCTACTTTGACTAGACCAAATATTGTATATGCTCGTGAACAAAGTGTGTCGGTTCATGCACTAACCTACTTCGAACATTGGGTGGCTATCAAACGCATCTTGTGATACCCGAAGTACACATACACTTATGGTTTGCACATTCGAAAATCCAACTCTCAACTATTGACGAGCTTCTCTAATTCGGATTGGGCGGGTTCTTTGGATGGTAGAAAATCTACGGGGGTATGCTCGTCTACTTAAGACCGAATTTAATCACATAGAAATCCTCCAAGCAAAAGACGAGTAGCCGCAGCTCTACCAAAGCTAAGTACAAAGCTATCGCAGATCTTGCAGATCGAAATCACTTGGGTCATGTCTTTACTAGGTGAGCTTGACTCCACACCACTCATAAGCCGATTATTTGATGTGATAATATTGGAGCTACTTATTTGGCGATAAACCCAGTGTTTCATGCACGAACTAAACACGTGGAAATTGATTTTCATTTCGTTAGAGACATGGTTGCAAAGGGAGCTTGCAAGTAAAGTTCATTTCCACACAGGATCAAATTGCGGATATTCTAACCAAACCTCTTCCCACTCGCCCGATTTGAATTCTCGAGGGACAAACTCATTGTTGGAAATCGTCCACAGTCGGTTTGTGAGGGAATATTGAGACAAGAGTCGGCCACAACAAACAAAGAAGAGATGGACTCTGCTATAGTGAAATAGTTTGTTAGAATGCAACTACTTCGGAGATAAACTCTGCTGCGAGTTTGTTAGTTACAAGAACTTTGCTACGGTAGTTAGTGAATTACTTGTACTCTCTAGTTCTTATCCATTGTATTATCTAGAATTCTAAATACATTATACTTGTACGTATATATAAAGGACATGTTAAAGTCCTAGGAATACAAGGCTGAAAATATTATCTTCTAACGAAACACACGATTTATTTAAGCAAGTCCGAGGCATTCGACATGTAGTGTTTAATCATCCTTTTCCAATCTCCACTCATTCGTCGCTCCATAAGGTAACTCCTTTTCGAAGCGAAACCCGAGTGCTAGCCGATCTCTCGTATTTAAAATAATGTAATTAAGTACTCATCCAAACACAAAGTTAGGAAATTGATAAAAACTATGTACCTTTCGGGAATGTCAATAATCGAGATGCTCCTCTAACTACCTCTTCGTTGATTACTTGTTTTTGAAGAAAAAACCTAGCTAGCCGACTAGCTACCTTTACTTTTTTATAATTAATTAAGCCATCCGAGAGTCCTATATATTCAATCCATTGGTATGAGTGTTTTGCTTGTTTAGTATATTAAAGATATGCACCATATATAACTCGCTAATTTTAATAATTTAGCCCTTTTTTTTAATACTTGGTTTTGAGGAGGTTACAATCGCAATGGTAATACCCTTCCTAATTCTCAATATTGGTTCTTCTTCTTTATCTCTCGCACAATCATTCTTATACTCTTGATCATATTTTTTATGTTCCTAATTTCTGTCAAAATTTGTTATTTGTATCTACTTTTACTAGATCTAATCATGTCTTTTTGAAATTTTTTCTTGACTATTTCTTAATAAAGGATATTTGCACGAAGAAAATCCTCCACAAAGAATCTCTAGACAATGGCCTTTACACTAAGCCAATTGAATCTCCTTCATCATTCCATCCTGTTCAAATACATTCTTGCAGTCTACCCGCATGGCATTCTCACCTAAGCCATGCTTCAATGCATACAATAGCAAAAGTTTTGGGTTAATCTAGTATTTTTGTTCCAAATAAAAACATAAACATTTTATGGGGATTTTTCCAATCCTATCTCTATAAAGTCACAACTATTACATTGTGTTTTATGATCATTATAGTAAATATAGTTAGATCTATTTTCTTAAATACAAATCGAAGTTCTAACTAAAAAGCTTGTAGCCTAGTAGTAGTGATCTTTTGCAACAAGAGGTTACAGATTCAAATCCCGATAGACTAGTTACGTTAGGAGCGTTAGATGTGTGATTTAAAAAAGAAAAAAGTTGATAGATATTTCTATCAAAATATATAATCAGAAGTTCTAAGTTGTTTTATCAAATTTTAGCATTTGGTTGAAAAAAAAACCACATGCCGTGCACTCATTTTCCACCCAAATGCCCACACGGCCTCTTTCCAATAAAGAGGCTGCCTTTTCGTCTCTTCCATTTACTCAGCCCATTCTCTGTATGGGCCAATCCTCCACCTAACTACCATCCGCCCAATCAAGGGAAAATCTGCAACTTCAATGCTGTTCATCGTAATAATAACAATAATAATTTAAGCCTTTCAACCCTTGTTCATGGCTGCCCGATACGGCTCTGCTAGCTGTTCTTTCAACACCTCCCATCTATTGCTTGCAGCTTCACACACTCGGAGTGTTTTTATTTTAGCTGCATAAACCCTCTCAACATTATCATCCTAAGCTTCAAAAGTAGAAATTGCAACCTGAATTAAGAAAATAAAAGAGAATGTAATTAATATTATCTACTTTGCTTGCAGCCATCACCTAAAACCAAGATCTGCCTCAAGGAAATGGTTTATGCTCCATTCCTTCTTTTTCCTTCGCTTGTTCCATCATCAGGTCTGTTTATGCCTCAAGGAAATGGTTTATGACGAGACATTTTATATTACTCCAAATAAGGTGTTTTAGTTAGACTTCCGCAGTAAGTTAAGTTTACAAGCACATATGTATTTAATTTGTTTTCTTGTTTCATCCCACAACTTGAGACAAACTCAACAGACCATGCTAACATAATTTCTAGACTAAATGATATTGAAATACAAAACATTTTATGAACTTTTAGTCAAATTTAGATAGATTTCTAACCTACAAATTTAGAAATACAAAACAACAACCACAATCAACAATCAGACAGGAGCATGCAAAGTACGAAACAACAACAACTAGCTTCTTTTTGTTTTCTCCCTTTCATAGAATTCAAGAAAAAGATGATCATTCCTTGAATTCCATATAAAAGAAAATATAGCTCCATTAGCTATCTTGGTTTGCAACTTATCAAGTACCGGATAGAAACTTTGGAGCAAAGTACACAAAGAGAGAGTCTGTCATACTGATTAAAACCAACTTTATCAATTCTCCTAATTTCACGCTCATAAATTGTCACATACATAAATAAAAAAGTCATTTGCAAAGCTGTAATGCATGAAAAGGGAAAAAAATAGTAAGGAAATTTCTTTTCAGGGCGTCAAGAGGGGACTGCCTTCCTTAATAAACACAAATAAACTTCCAGCATCACCTCTTGAAATTCGAAGATCATCGTCGAGGTATGTGGTTAGCAACCATGATTCAGCGCTGCTGTTTGAGATAGGAAACGTCAATGGTAATTGACTGGAAATGGTCTTTGCAACAGATGAAGCTGTATCTTCCACAGAGGAGATTATGGCTCTAAAGAGTGTGAGGTCGAACTGATGTCCCAGAAATTCCACATTTTCTGTCAGCTTGGGAGTCCCAAGAATGCCTTGTTCAAATTTGATCTAAACCAATAAATGAATAAATAAACAATGAATATCAGGCCAATTTTCAAAGCTCATTGATTATTTTAAACAGAAAATTTAAAACAAATTAATTGGCTTCAAGTTTCAATTATTGTAAATGGTAATTGTTTTACTAGTTGAAGTCTTGCTTCCAGTATAGTCTGCTGCCCTGCCTGTAGGTGTAAAGACAAGTTGAAACACTTAGAAGACAAAGAAGAGAGCAGCAAATTGGGCTAGATATATTGATGGTCATTTTGTTTGTTTCAAAAATGATCAGCTGTGTAGTTTTGATGGAATTAAAAGATGAATAAATTCATCAAGAACTCATCAGTTGGGTTCTTAGAAGTGATAATTCAGTTTCGATGGACGTTTAAGTTTAGCTTAGTTTTATTTTCTAAAAAGCTGAAGAAATGATCTCATGTTGATTTATTAGTACTCCTAATGTTTCTGCTCCATTAAAATGGAGACAGGGGATATTAGCCATGTAATGCAAACAAACCTGCACACGTTTGGGGCTTCGGACTTCAAATTTGGCATTGGCACTAATGGATGTATTGGCCCTGAGAATTGCGCAGAATTCTGAACAGTGAAGTTCTCTGAGTCGATTGTCTGAGATATTTCCTTGATCTCTACCAATGGCAGGGTACCCCACAGCACTGGGAACAAACCGTCAAAAGATGTGGACCTGCACCATCACGAGATCACCATGTAAATGACCTTGCTATGGTGATCGGATTAATCTTCCATTCTAACGTTAACTACTAACCACCGATGTGTATCAATTTATAAAACCAAAAAGAATAAAAAATGAAGAGAAAAGAAAAGAAAAGAAAAGCTTACTTAAGAATCCACTTGCCATTGAGCAGAGACAGAGCCTCAGTGGGAGCAGGATTGGGGTTTCTGGCTTCAAGCTGAGCCATAAGCTCCACAACCTCAGCTCTTGTCTCACTAGTAGCTATCAGTCTATGATCAGTTCCATGCAAAGAATTCAACAGCTGTCTCTTTAAGCTATCAATCTCTACCAGCTCAATCAGCTTCTTCTCCTCCCCATCCACAGCCTTGACCAAGAACAATGGCCTTGTCTTGATGGGTTCTCTGTTTACCAGAATTCTTGATTTCAAGATGGAATTATTGCTTGTTGGGATGATTTTGGTTGAGCTTAGAGGGGTGATTGAAGGTCTTACAGAACTGAATTGGACGTTTAAAGGTATTATTTTGAAGAGATTCTTGCATGAATATTGATTGAAATGAGAGACGATAGCCATTTTTTGAATTTGGTTTCGAAGAAACAGAGTATGAAAAACAGGGGAGGGGCGTCCAATTATAAATAATACCCCATTATTGTATAGAATGACCTTTTTTGTCCCACGATTTGTTCAATATGCATGATTTTTATTGTTTTTATTTTTTTATTTTGAGGAAAATCATTATTCTTCTTTGGCAATGGAGGGCAAAAGTTGTTTTCTTCATGGACTAATAAACTTTCCTTTCAAATACAGCAAATGGCCACAATTAGGCAATAAAGCAATAAATACAGTGAATTTTGTTTTTGTTTTTTTCCCCAACAGTTTAAGATATTCTAGGATTAATTTGTGTTTCAATCATAAAAGATTAAAGACTTATAGAACGGCAAAAAACGATAACAATCTTGATCGATTCTGTTAAGTAACTATCATTATATTACGTAATAACTATTATTTTAAATTATGATACCTATTGGTTAAAACTTGAATTCTGCAGACATTGGATGCTAATTGTATCATTAAATTTCGACGTATGCAGCTATCCAACCCAGAATAATGCATAGCAAGATACCATTAGTTATGTTTATGTCCAGTAATACACGCACAACACATCCTAGTATTTAGACATTAATCCTTGTCTGTCTTGTTTTAGTCAACAAGTACAAGAAATCAATATTCTTCACCCACCATTATTGTACTTGGATTTGTTGTCTTGTGGATCCATGTGAATGCCTCTTGCGAATGGAGGACCGAGGGGCCCTAACCGAACGAATAACGAAATTGCAAGGAAAAGCCACCTTGATGAGAGTGATTGAGCTCTTCAAGGTGTTCATAAATGTCAGATACAAAGGGAACTGCAAGATAGCGAAAATGCTGACCGGCAGGAATGCAATGGTGTAAATGAGAAGCGTAGTCCAACGCTTCTTCAAATGAACAATGAGCAAAATGGTTGCGGTGAATGCAAGCATTGTCACTGCGACCGAGAAGAAGAGGAACGAGAAACCGAGTGTCAGTTTCCGAGGGAGAGAGTGGCGGAAATCTTGAAGCTGAAACGGAGAAGTGAGGATTGATAGGAACATTACAACAGAAGTCAAGGAGCTTGCCAAAGATAGAACATCCATAACAGTGAAAACCAAGAAGATGGGATCATGCAGGAGGACAGGAAGACCGGTGTCTTGATTGGATCCTCCTGGTACAGTGTAGGCTGCAGCGAAGGCAACCGTGGCAATAAGAACAGCAACGGTAGAGCATGACTCGGATGTCCTCTTTAGCCACTCCTGAGCATCCTTGAGGAGTTTAGTATGTGTTCTTTTGAAGAATTCTTGAGCAGTCTCATCCCTGTTGCTCCGGTGCATCGCAAAATGGGGAGGGATTATCTTCAGCACACGCTGCATATCATCAGATTTGAGTATGGAATTGAACATATTCGAGCCAAATGAATGAGAAGATCAGACCAATGGCTCACCTCAAACCAATGCAATTCCTCTTGTAGCTGGAGTGCAGGACCAGGCAGGGTTCCTTCACTGTAGTACTGCATGACAGCAACATGGTGCAACAAGGAGCAGCCATTGTCATCGATCCGTCGAACCAACCTGGTCATTGGTATTTCCATCTTCTTGACCATGTTAAATATCTCTTTTTGACGGTGCTTAATAGCCACATGCAATATGTTCTGCCCCATATGACTGACATGTTCAACTGCTTGAGGATACACTCCAAGTATCTCTTTAACAATCTCTACAATTCCATTGCTAGTTGCTAAAAGCAATGAGGTAAGGGTCGGTGCCGAGCCAGCATCAATGCCTGAAACGTTAGTTTTTGATGTATCCGGGGCTTGTGCCATAGTCACAGAGGATCTTAATTTTCCTCGTTTTCTTATTGTGTTTCTGCCTCCTTGTTTTTCATTCTTTGCTCCTCTTCTTCCTTCTTCTGATGCTGTTGCTGCAGGGTTCACAAAGCTTATCTTTCCCTTGTCTTCTTCGGTGCTGATATGTTCCCATGAAGTGTCTTCTGGAATCAACAGTTTGGCAAGCCTTAGAGCTGATTCATGTTTTCTCTTCTCCTTCCAGATACTTTCCATCATTGGCCATCCTGTTCAACTTCATTCATGAGAAAGATCAAGAAAGAAAAATCATAGAAGGGAGGAGAGCACCTTCACGAAAAAGGCTCCATAGTGATCGATTCATCTTCTTTAGCACTGCAAATCAATGGAAGTTGTATATCAAAATTTGATGATAATCATATCTTGACCAAAAGGTTGAGTCGTAAACAAATATCGATCAAAACCATTTGAAAACATCAAATAACTTTCATGCAAAATGGATAGGTGCATTGCAGCAAAACGCCAGGATTCACATATGGTAAAATACATTGCAGCAAATGTAGGAACATAATCTTAGAGTAATATGAATCATATCTTATGGCCGCGCCAAATAGCTTAAACTTTTGAATTGAGATGGTTTTTTAAGCTAGTACCAAAGCCTTTAAAACCAAATGGTCATGAGTCCGAATATTTTCACCTCATTCTCTCTAATTAAATTAAATTTTAGCACAAAGCAGTAGTGAGACTGTAAGTTTCACGTCTGAAAGACTTTCACTTGAGAAGGAGTGTTGGAGAATAATATAAATCATTTCTAAGACATTGCTTAATAGCTTTAAGTTTTTGGATTGAGATGGTTCTTTTGACATGTATATCGTACAGCCATAATGTTTATGGAATTGTGAGAACATAGCGTACCTGAAGCAATTATTTGCGTTATCATGAAGTATAAGTTAACAAAAACTTCAAGCATTCGGGGAAGCTTGGAGCCTCTTGCAGCTTTATCACCATCCTCATCCGTGCCAGCCACCTCTAATCCACCTGTAAGTTTTTCTTCTTCATGATTGCTGTCTTTCCTGATCTCTCCATCACCAACTGGAACACCTAGAAATAACAATCGTAACGAGTAAATTAGTTGCCGAATAATCAGGTTTGTAATATGTTTAGTACAGAGAGCACATCTCTTAGCTATGGTTATGCCAATTTCACTCTTTATCTACCTTATATCAGCAAATGTGAATGTCGATTCCGAATGAGTATATGTGGCCATGGCATTTTATAATATGCATGGCTTGGAGAATGTATTCAAAGAGAAGGAAAGTTGGCATTACAGTAATAAATGAAACTCTTCAGTAAACCATAGCTGCTCCCACTCTTGAATGCAGATGGATTACTTGAGAGCAGCTGAAGCGCTATCTTCTCCTTTTCATCTTTTTCAGCAATCAAGTGCGGATACTTTATAGCTATCATATATGCCAGATCTGCAATAACAAACAGTATGACAATGTAAGAGCTAGCAAAAGTTATTATCATTCAAGCATAAGCATATCTAGGATGAGTTATAAATATTGTCCTAATTAATTCCTACCAAAGAACTCGGCAAGGATAGTCATGTGAAGGATGGTAGTTTTGTACTCCCTAGACAAATGACATTTAGCTTTCTCTGGACCTTCTTTCTCCACTCTATCAGCTAGAAGCTTGAACATTTCAGTTTGACCAAATTGGGCAGCTTTAAATAGAGGCATTTCGTCGTACCGATTAGGCATGGATAGTAATTGCGGTGCCTTTTCCAGCAATTCCTTTGCCAGTTTTGTCATGTTGGTGGAAGCAGCCTCATGGAGTACAGTGTCTCCAAACACATTCTGCCGAGTCAATGTTGCAGGATCTTTGAGGTGATACTTCAAGATTTCCCTGGCAATGCTTTCGTGCCTCATATTGATCGCCATATGGAGGACTGTATCTTCACACACAGTCATGCTGCTTGATGGTTCCTGAGACATCTTTGCATATTGAAGTATGACCTTTGTCTTCTCACCCTTCTTCATATTTTCATATAGGCCTTTAAACTGACGATACTCGTCGAAATTCATGTCTCTGGCTTTGTCTGTGATGGAGTGAGTAAGCAAGTCGTGTATGTGTTCGATTTTTTCTCCCTCATACCCCAATATATAAATCCCACACACCAAGTCTGATCAGTTGCTGTCATCATGTTTCACGTTTCTTCTTTCAAAGCAAACAAGCAAAGAATCACATCTACATTCTTCGCTTTTCCTTTTGGAATCCCTGTTTCTTTTGATAATTTTACAAACCAATAATTCTCATTTCTTTTTCAGAGTACTAATCATTAAATATCAACTCTCCAAGAATTCACATTTCCTTTTCAGATTAGTAATCATTGGAATATCAACTTTAATAACATATATGGTCCATTGGTTTATTCTTTTCTTCTTAAAGCTGGATGTGTTATTTATGCTTGAGAGGTTTGGTTTTTGCTTTTTGCTTTTTGCTTTTGGCTTTGTGCTTTAAATCTTGTTTTTACGACAGATTACTTCCTTCTGCATTGCAATTGTTTGTGATAGAATGTTTTCTGCACTTAACAGTGTAATGGAACTTTTTCCCCTCGGAGGTTATCATTCTTTTGACTGTGCTTTCTATTCTACAATCAGCATCAAAGATGATCAAGTCAATAAAATCCATACTTCACAACCACAAGGAAAAAAAAAAAAAAGAGAAGTTCTACTACTTCCCAACCTGTTTAAATATGTTTCACAGGTAGAAGCAACAAGTAGATAATTCCTTTCAGAAAAATGTTGGCTTTGGCACGAACAAGAGCATAAAACCTTGACCGAATTCTGAGGAGGATATGATACTCTTTTATGAAAAAATGCAATACTTCCATACAATATTTCTGAACACACTTAACAAATGGAGAAACAACGTATTCCACAAGACTTGCCACCTTGTAGCCAGAAGCTCATCAGAAACATTTCATGCACGTGAACGAGGTAGCGACTCAAAGAAACTCCACAGCATGTCCCTCACAGTAAACCAAGCAATATTGAGATAAAGCGGGAACTGAAGCATAAGGAAAATGGTCACTGGACAGCAAGCAACTGTGTAAATTGGAATTGCAGCCCAGTGAAGTCTCTGTCTGATCATAAGCACAAGAGTTGCTGCAAAGGCAACCATCATTGCCGTCACAGCAAAAAACAGTGTAGTTAAGCCCAAAACAAGCTTCAAAGGCAGAGACATTTTGAAATCTTGCTCGTGCATTTTGGATGTCATAATGGACAGAAACACCACCACAGACGTGAGGGCAAAGCATAGTGATATTGTGTCTGAGATTGTGAAGACATGAAATGGAGTGGTGTTGAGAAGCAAAGGATGGCCTGTCTTTGAGTTAGAACCACCTGGAACTGTGTAGGCAGAGGTGAAAGCAACTGTGGCAATTAGAACTGCTACTAGGGTACAAGCCTGTGTTGTTCGCATTAGCCACTCGCTCCCATCTTTCACCAGGCTATCGTGTTCCCTACTGAACAATTCTTGAGCTGTTAGTCCTTGATTGTTCCGATGATTGACAAAATATGCAGGCACAATTTTCTTCACCCGCTGCATAAATTCCATGAAGGAAAAAAGAACTTAGTTTATTATGCAATTTCAGTGTTGTAAAATCCGAGGCCATATCTGTTATTCTGCCTTCAAACAGAAAATGTTTGTTAATGCCAAGCATGTCTACTTCTAAATGATATTGGCTTATTGTGTTTCTATTGCGGCATTTACATGTTTGTTTTTTCACCTATGTAGCCATATAAACAACAGTCTAGGTAACTAGAAGGCAATGGGAATGGGAAGGAAGGCTACCTTAAAGCAGAACATGGTACACAGAATATGATCAAGAAAGCTCAAAATCAAGAGCGAAAACATATCCAAAAGCAGGAAAAGCAGAAAAAAGCTACGATAAGGCAGTATAGAAGGAAATTTTGAGGCAACAGTTGACAAAATAAAGCACCTTAAACCACTGAATATCGGACTGCATGCGTAGGGCGTCTCCTGGTCTGTCCCTAGGATGAGCCTCCCCTAAGTATGCAGCTTGATGCAAAATACTGTCACCATCATGATTGATCCTCCTCCCAAGCCTCGGTGTTACAAAATACGAAGATTGAAGAAGGTTCAAGACTTCTTCCCTGCGATATCTGGCTGCAACATGAAAAATGTTTTCATCCTTCTCGTTTATGTGCTCTATAGCCTGTGGATACACATCAAGAATAGCTTCTATGATCTCCATTATCCCATGTCTTGCAGCTGCAATAAGAGGAGTCTCTTTAGGTTCAATTTTTTCAGGAGGATGAAAAGGTGACTGAAATAGGTCATCATCGTCTACTGGTGCTTCATCTTCCTTGTCATCCTTAAAGAGGGAGATGCTTTCGAAACCAGACCCCCCATGGTCTACGCTCCTCCATGTCGAGTCTGTTTCAGCTAATGTTTGGACAAGTTCTAGCACTTCTTTTTGCTTCTTGTTTATGTCCCACAATTTTCTTATAGCCGGCAATCCTATCAAAGTATACATGATATGTAAGAGCAAGAAAGTTGAGTTTCATCCAAAATCCACTAGAGACTATTTATTCTTGCAGATCGGTGATGAAAATAAAACACTTGTAGAAAAGAAAATGCATACCTTTAGCTATACACCTCAATACATCATGGTATACCTTTGAAATTGCTGCAATTATTCATCAAATTATATGGTTGGAAAAGTATTTACGATAACTTAAAAATGGAACAAGAATTTTTGTTATCTGATCAGTGAAAGAAACCAGATAGAGCACTTGAAGGTAATTTGTTTTTAATTTCATGACAATCAAAAAACAAATACAACTTGAAGAATGCTTATTTTGTAAGAGATTCTTTGGAAAAAAGACACATTCTCTTTCAATCTGAAGGGACAAAATAAACCTGAACCAGAATTGCTGGATTGGAGGGAGGGAATCCTGCCATGGCCCCTCTCCACGTCTTCTCTCCGACCCAAATGGAGCTTTCTGTTGTCCTTGTCTTCGTCACTATCATCCAGCTCCTTATCGTCATCACCACCGATATCTGGAAGGCCTATTGAGAATCGTGAAGTTAATATTCTAATGTGCCTAGGGCTTAGAGATACTATTGAAAACCATAAGAAAAGCTGCTAACATACAAAAATAAAGAAGTTTCTGCAGCATTCCCATGGGACATCCACTCTTGAAAGCAGATGGCATGCTAGCAAGCAGTTGAAGGCAGGACATGCCATTTTCATCCCTCGCATTTCCAAGCGATACATCCCATACTATTAACTGCAATGCTGTTTCTGCATTAATTAGACAAACATATAGTTTTTAATCCGAGAAAGAGCATCACAAAATAATGGGAAAAAAAATTTCTCATCTTTGCAGTTGAGCATACTAAGAGTAAATGGATTTTAAAATGAAAGAAATACCAAAGTATTTGCCAAGGACAGCAATATGAAGAATGGAGGTTGAATCGTCTCTCCTACGATGAGCAGCCTTGTTCTTAATTTTAGAACATAAGAACCTCACCATTTTGGTTCTGCCGAATGCAGCAGCCCTGAAGAGTGCAGTTTCTCCTCTATTGTTCTTAATTTCGAGTAGCTCGTTAACAGAAGACTCATTTTGCTGTCCATCGGTTGTGCTGGAATTGTGCTCTCTATCAAAATTCAACAGGATTTTGGCCATTTCCACATTGCCTGTGGCAGCTGCCTCGTGAAGAGCATTATTTCCATACACATCAGTTACCTTATAGGTGAATGGTAGTGCGATATCTAGTAAATATTTGAGCAGTTTCGGGTCATTGCTGTGTACAGCAATGTGAAGCACCGTGTCCTTGGTGACAGTCAAAGGAAACCCTGCAACTTCAGGATCTTGCTTATAGAACCTTTTCAAGCTTTTCCAATCCTGTTCCATGGCAGCTCGATAGGGCTTTGTCGTTCTCGCAACACTTCCCATCTCTTGCTTGCAGCCTCACACGAACACTCACAGGGAGTAACTTTAGTTTAGCAGCATAACCCTCTCGAGATGATCGCCCTGTGCTTCATAGACATAAAGTGCATCGTGACAAAAAAAAAAAATAATATAATAATAGCATGTACTTTGCTTGCACCTATCACCTAGAATCATGAAATGCCTAAAGGTAAATGTTTTATGGTCTATTTCTTCTCTTTCCCTGTCTTTATCAGGTTTGTTTGATGACCATGTAAACATTATTTCCATGATGATCTTCAGACCCACTGTACCTGAACATTTTTGTCAATTTGGAACTGTCAACGGATCGAAACTTGACTTGAATCCAATTCAACCCTATGTATTTAAAAGAAACTTGAATGATATATAATTTTTCATTAATTTTTTTTTTCATCTAAATCTGCTTACTCATTTATTAAATAATCAAATATACCATATTAATCTGATCTGATTATAATCTGATCTAAAATTAATATTAATAGCATTTTTAATAAATATAATATTTTAAAAACATTAAAAAAAAAGAAAAATGAAGAACCCTGTTGAATTTGAGAAGAGACTTTGTCATATCTATAAAAACCAACTGTATCAAGTTTTCTAGTTTCACACTCATATATTATTACATGCATTATTGTATATCCCCTTTTGCAAAGCAGTACTATACGGTAGGCGCAAAAACAGCAGAAAAAAAAGATGGGAGATTTCTTTTCTTCTTTTGTTTGTTCAGGACGTCAAGAGGGGACTGCCTTCCTTAATGAGCACAAATATACTGCCAGCATCACCTCTTGAAATTCGAAGATCATCGTCGAGGTATGTGGTTAGCAACCATGATTCAGCATTCCTGTCTGGGATAGAAAACTTCAATGGTGGCTGGCTGGAAATGGTCTTTGCAACAGATGAAGCTGTATCTTGCACAGAGGAGATTATGCCTCTGAAGGGTGTGAGGTCGATCTTCTGTCCCAGAAACTCCACATTTTCTGGTAACTCTATGGAGTCTGTCAGCTTGGGAGTCCCAATAATGCCTTCTTCAAACTTGATCTAAACCAATAGATGAACAAATAAACAACGAATATTAGGCCAATTTTCCCAAGCTATTTAATTGTCCAATGACGGAGAAAATTGATTTATCATTCTAAGTAGAAAAATTAAATCATATAAATTGGTTTCAAGTTTTCATTAAGCGGTAAACGGTAATTCTTCTACTACTTGAAGTATTGTCTAATGCCTAAATGTATAAAGACAAATTTGAAACACTTAGGAAAGGAACAGGTAAAGAAATTCTATGTTCAAAAGCTCAAGAAATGATTTCATGTTGACTGCTAAGTATTTCTAATGTTTCTGCACCACTAATAAGATGTTAGTCATGTATAGGAACCTGCACACGCTTGGGGCTTCGGACTTCAAATTTGGCGTTGGTACTAATGGATGTAGTAGCCAGTGGCCCTGAGAATAGCACAGAATTCTGAACGGTGAAGCTCTCAGAGTCAATTGTCTGAGATATTTCCTCAACCTTTACCAACGGCAGTGTACCCCTTGACAGCAATGGGAACAAACCCACAAAAGATGTGTACCTGCAGCATCACACGATCACTGAGTAAATGACCAGTCACTAAATACCAAGAAAGAGTAAAGCAAGAAGTGTTTTTTATTCAAATCTTATTCTGTTCCACAAATGACTAAATCTTGCTACAAAAATTACCAAATGACATTAGTAGTAATTCATACCAAATCATATAATCCAAGCAATCTATTATTCTGAATCATCATAACTGGTTTTCTATTTTTCATTGCTAGGCAAAATATATAAAACTCCTGGCCTTGCAACTACAAGGGTGCGTGTTTAAGTCTTGAGAACAGCCAATTCGCCGGAAAATGCTAAAGCATATGACTGCCTTCTCATTCTTCCTGTTAGGAACCACACTTCTGTAATCTGTAGGACGATAACTAAGTACTGGCCTAATTTTTTGTACTGATTTTCTGAAGCAAAATGAAGAATTGATGATCAGCATCCCAACTTGTACTATATCAAGAAATAATTTTACATTTTTTTGCGAAGAATGGCTTCTTTGTCATCATTTTGCCTTTCAATTTGTTTATTTTTACGTTCCCCCATACCTTGTGCAGGCCATAAGGAATTAAGGAAGACTAGTTCCTGTGGGAACTTCGAGGACTAGCTCAGGGCTGCAATATGAGAGAGAAACAATCCAGTCTGCAGAGAGCATAGCTCAGGACTGCAATAAGCAAGATATACAGAAAGAACAAGAAACGTGACAGTAGAGACTTGGAAAACCATTATAGTTGACCTCAAACCAATACCTACAGTTAAAACTTGTATAGATTCAATAAAACATCTGATCTTAATTAGATGATTGATTTTCGGTGTAGGCAGCTGTCCAAACCAGAAAACTACACAGCAAGATGCCATTAGCTATGTTCAGTTATACACACACACACACACAGCCTGTCTTACTTGACAAGTACTCTAAATCAACATCTTTCACCTCACTTATTGTACTTCCGTTTATCGTCTAGTGTATCCATGTGAAGATGTCACTTGATATGTCTATTGCAAAGTACTAAACATCTTTATTAAGCTGCACTACTTCAACACTGAATATCACATGCATGTTTAGGAGTTAGGACCATAGACGTAGTCCTTGTCGACTTAACAAATCACATTATCTGATTTCTTGCACGAACCAATTGTAACGGTGTATTACACCAATTAATCACCCTGTTGTGTTCCAAATGAACTGAATCTGTGTAATAATTCTGCCCTCTGAAATCATTTCTTGCGCATCAGCAAATGATACGATCCCATTCTTAATTATTTCCAAGTTCATAAAAAACAGTTCAACCAAACTAATTAAGCTACCTAATTATGCAAAATCTCATTCAACTAAAGACTCAACTTTCATTACCATCATCAAATTTTAAAAATAAATAAATAAAATAAAAACCCCGACTTGAAAAAAAATCAAATTCATCCAGTTTCTTAGTATTTCTCTGCAACCAAACAGATTAAAAGGAAAACCAATGAGCCAGGCTCGTTTATAGTTTCTACCAAGAGGTCACATATTCAATTGAACTTGTTTACACCACATGCAAGAGGTGGTCAGGTTAGCCCCTCATCTTTGCTACGGTGATCAGATTCATCTCCTATCGCAAGGGGTATTACGCTCGGCTACCCCCTCTCTCTCCTAACACTAACAACTAACCACTCATATATATCCATCAAAAAAACGGATGAAATGGAAAAGAAAAACTTACGCAAGAATCCACTTGCCATTGAGCAGAGTCAAGGCCTCAGTGGGAGCAGGATTGGGGTTTCTGGCTTCAAGTTGAGTAATAAGCTCCACAACCTCAGCTCTAGTCTCACTAGTAGCATTCAATCCACGATCAGTCCCATAAAAAGTTTCCACCAACCGTCTCTTCAAGCTATCAGTCTCCACTAGCTCTTTCAGCTTCTCCTCCTCCTTCTCCGCCAAAGCCACCCCAGACCCTTCCTTTTCTGGACCCCACTCGTCATCATCCACAGCCTTAACCAACAACAGATTCCTTCTCTTGGTGGGTTCTCTGGTCACCAGAATTCTCGAGATCGAATGTGTGCTTGTTGGGGTGGTTTTGATTGAGCTTAGAGTGATAATTGAGGGTCTTGAAGAAGTGAAATGGGAGTTTAAAGGTGTTTTTGAAGACAGAGTCTTGCATGGAAATAGATTTAATTGAGAGATGGTAGCCATTTCTTGAATTTTGGTTAGAAACAGAGAGATTTCCTTGACACAGGGTATCGAAAACAGGGGAGGTTCAAACTAAATGATTCGTGAATAACAACTATAATGTTGTATGAAGTACAGGTTTAGGATATTCCAAATGACCATTTTACCCTAAGATTTTTCCTTGACTAGGAAAGCCAAATGTGTTTTCTTGGACTAATAACCTTTCCTTTTCCATTTAGTAAATGCATTCAATATTTGATAATATTTATCCATTAAATGATATAATGGAGATTTTTTTTTTTTTTTGGTTATAAAACGATCACCGATTTAAAATAATATAAAATTAGTTAATATCATTCATAATATAATTAAAATCCATAATAAATACGATTATTACTGAATATTTTTAAAATATCAAAAAATTATTGTGTAAAACCGGTTTAATAATATTTAACTATTAAAATTAAAAAAAAAAAGCTAATCTCAAAAAATTAAAAATTATTGTATAATTCCAATCTTGTAGATTTGTTAGAAAGAGCAAAACTAGTTAATTTTTTATTTTTATTTTATTTATTTATTTTGAAGGGTTGGGTTTGTTGTCTAAGGGCAATATTGGCCTTACGATAGAGTTTGGAAGAGAACAAAAAAGGTGCGTGTCGGCCCATCCCACTTGGGAGTCTAGAGTTCTGACACGTGGAGCAACAAAGAGGTAACAGGAATTGGAAAAGGAAACCAAGTAAGGTGCTGTGAGGCAGAGAATATTTTGGTGTTTTATTTAAATTGACGAGAAAATAAGTAAAAAAAAAAAAAAAAATTGGGCTGGGCTTAATAAAACTCTAGAAATGTCTCTTGCTTGTCAGTTAGCGGCGGGTCGGTGGACGAGTGTTTTTTCAAGATTTGCTTGTCAAAAATATCTTCTAACTATGTTTGGAAGAAAAAATGGGTGAGGAAAAAAGTGGGAGGAAAGAAAATGGGGTGAAGGTATTTCTTGTTTTTTTCATCGTTTTGTTTGGATGAGAGTGGGAGGGAAAAAAAAACGGAGAATGGAAAAAAAATCCAAATAGGAAAAGGTGGAAGAAAATGATAGCAAGAAAAAAAAACTTATCATTGTATATTTGTTTTTAAATTAATATGATATTTACGAAGAATAAAATTGTTATTTAAAAAAATCCTCTGGTATCATTTTTAAAAAATTTTAAAGTTTTTTAATTCAATTTAATTTAAAAAATTTGTTTGGTTGGGTTTTTCTTCAAAAAGTGTATTTAGTTTTAATGAGATGTTCGAATGATTAAAATTGATCTCCATACTCTTTAAACTTGAAACTCGGACTCTCAAACCCAAATTTTAGAGGTCACGGATCCAACCTCAACCCGACACCTTAGAGTTCATGCTCGATTTCAGCTTGATTCTTAAGTTTTAAGAATTTGATTCATATGTCTTAGGCCTAGTCTCAATCTGCATTATTTGCGCTTCAGACCCAGCCACAACTAAAACTCTAGACATTTCGAACTCCTTTTCAACCCAAACCTTGGGTGACTCGAACTCCGCAGACATAGTCTCGACTTTGATTTAGAACGACCCTAACTTGGTCTCGGTTCCATGCCTAATCCCACTCTGAACCCTGAGCTCCTTGAACCAAGTCTCGTCTCGACATCCAAACACTCCAAATCATGTCCCAAAACGAACCTCAAATTGCCTCCTAGTCCCCATATGACCCCAATTCAATCTCAAACCTACCCCTAATTGCTTCGGACTCGATCCATACCTATACCTCTAAAGCCTATGACTGGGTCTAAACTAGACGCATGAACACCACTAGCCCAAGCATTAGCCCCAACCCGAATCCTAAGCACTCCAAACTAAGTCCTAGGTCGACTACCAATTGCTTCAGGACTGGTTATGGATGGAATCCTATACGTTGCAGATCGAGTTTCTATCTTGAACTCCAAACACTCCAAATCAAGTCCCAAACACCTCAAACCAACTCTCGATGAGAACCTCTGACATGATATATGTTTATTTTTTGACTCTTGAATTCAATTCAACTTCCAAAGTGTATAATGATAGTATAGAAAACTAATTTTGAAAACTTTGGAGAACCTTTTTTTTACATAATTTGTTGCTAATTTTATTTAAAAAAAAAAAAAACAAAATGGGGAAATATTTTTAACTACATTTTCCTTACGCCTTACTTTCCTTCATGTTCCCAAACAAGAAAAAATGTCTCAGAGATTTACATTTTCCACTCCCTTCCTTTCTTCCCTCATCCTTCCAAACACTACCTTAGACTTTGGATCAGGCAAGCTACAGTAGGAAGTAAATCAGCAATTTTTTTATGATATTATTATTGTCCAGCTAATCAGCAATACAACGTCGTTTATAAGCCGTGTTCAACTTGGCATCCTTAGGATTGGGAAGTTCACAGTTTTGTCATGTCTATCTTCTCTTGAATCATGAAGTTTTAGCCTTGCACAAAACAAGACACTTCTCTTCAACCGTCCAACTCTTCAGTTTGGTCCGAAGTATTCTAGCTATGTGGGCCGTCTAGCATAGTTTTAGCTCGAGAGGGGCCCACAGTTAAGGCCTCGTAATTGTTTGGACTCAAACTCAAAAGAGCTATCACTGATCCAAAAAATAAAATAAATAATACTCCATCAGTTTCAGAAATAATTATTAAAAAAAAAAAAATGGATACGTCTTTCCAGTCTTAGAATAAAAAATAAATATAATCCATAATCTTACGAAGGAATGGTGATCGTAGCTTTGACAACACACCAACTAAATTTGATTATAATTTCCAACTCTTTCACATGCTACGTCAAGAGTAGAAGAAGAAGCAACTTAAGAGATTCCACATCTAAGCAACGTTTTCGGTGGTGGGCTTGCACTATTAGAATTTTATATTCTAATTTGTGAAAAATCTTAAGTTATGTATATTTTAGGGTTAATGGTTGAATTTATTCTTATATAATAATATGATTTTTAATATATATTTATATTTTTAATTCAACCAATTTTGTTTTTGAATAAATATTAACCTTTTAATCTATCATTTTGTCAAGTTTTTAAGATCAAAACATCATAATTATTCATGTAAGTTCCATGAGATTATTTTTTATTGCTAAAATATCATTGCAAAATCAATCAAATAGAAAGTTTTTTTATGTACAAATTATGTTATTAATTACGATAATTTAGTTTGAAAATTTTACCAGAATGATGTATTAAACACTTAAAGTATATTTAAAGATAAATTTAGCATAGTTAAAATATAAGAACAAATAATTATCTTATTATATAATGAAATATTGAGCCATTAATCTTATATTTTAGCATTTGTTTTATGAAGATTCAACTACAACTAAGAACGTACCTTCACACAAAGCTCCAAAATAACAATACTATAATTAAAATAAATAATGGATTAATTAATATTTGAGCAGTGACGTATAAGAAAGAAGCAATGGTGAAGATAAATTAAACAATTAAGTAGAAGACATATATAGTTAGTATGGCAATAATTATTTAGATGAAGAGATTAGGTATTCCCCACCAAAGCTAGATTCCAACCCATAGCATACCCCTATGAGAACTGCCAATGGGTTGCTTGACCCTCCATTCCTGCGCCTACTCCTATGGCTTTTGACTTTTTTTGGCAGGGCTTACAAAAAAAAAAAAAAAAAAAAAGTAGAATATGCTTCTCAACAATGATTAATTGAGGAGTTGAACGATATTGATTTCATCAAAAGATTTTTTTTCTTAAATTATTATTATTATTAAAAACTTTTCAATTATTGGATAAGTAGAATTTACTATGGGATTATGCATAAAACTTACTCTTAAATAAACAAGCTTTTATTAGTTTTTTTCTTAAATTATTATTATTATTAAAAAGCTTTTAATCCTCCAATTTTGGCATAAATTTATATATATTTTTGTTTTTGAAATAAATCAATCCATCTTTAGAATTTATTAAGAGATCACGAATTCATATAGTTAAAAATTAAATTTATTTATGATATCTTATTTTTAATGTATTGAACAAATTAATATTTATCACTTATTATGACGGAGATTACACTCTTTTCTTTTTCTTTAAGTAAATTATAAATTAATTTTATTAGTTTTGTAAAGTGAATTAAATAATTTTTTTAAAAAAGAATTAATTAATTAGTTTTTATATCATTTTTTTGATCATAGTTAATTTAATATTTTTTTAAAAAATATTTTTTTCTTTAATTTTTCTCTATTAATTTTTTAAAAAAGTAATATTAAAAAATAAAAAAGATTAAATTGCAAATGGACTTAAAAGTATAAAGATTAATTAATTAATTATTAAAGCTAGAAGAACTATTTAATTTTTTTTAAAAAAAAAAACCTAGAGGGACTAATTTATAATTTGCTTCTCTATCTCAATAAGACTAAGGTAACCTTAAAGTTATTAAATAGTTAAATAAATAATTATAAACACCAACAAGTAAGTATTGCTTTCTGTCGTTGCTTCTGCAATTCCAAAGTTTTTTTGTGGAATTGGGAAGAAGAACACAAAAAACTTTTATCTTTTGTCTTCTCAGCATTTTGTTCTCTTCCTTCCTTCTATTTTGTCCTTTTTCGTCTTTATTAATCTTCAATAATACCTACAAAAATTAATCTTAAAATCCCCTTCTCATCATCTTCTTCTTCTTCAAAACAATATTGACGACTAAGCTAATCATCGTAATGATCATTAACTCCCCATCCCAAATCCTACAATGGAATTTACCTTTCTCTACTGTCACTTTCACTTGCATAAACAACTGACGGCAGCAACATCATCATCATCATCAACAACAACAACAACAAGAATCAGACGGTGGTCATTAAATCTCTCTTTACTCTTCAAGAACCTCTTCACGAGACTTCCATGCACGATTATTAACTCTTCTTCACCTTCACCTGTATGTACTCAAAGGGTCTTTCTTTATCTATAACATTTCGTTTTTGAGTTGGGTTCTTGTTAACTTGTTCCAAAATGAGTCGACTCG